ACATGCATGTTAGGATGATTGGTAACTAAACTGTCTCTAGGTGTGAGTGAGAGAGTGAATGGTTGTTTGTCTCGTTTGTCTCTATGTGTCCCTGTGATGGACTAAAGACCCGGTCTAGGGTGTCCCCCGCCTCTTGCATAGTGATAGCTGAATATGAGCACCGCAGTGACCCCAGTAACCTGAAAATGAAGAAGGTAAATATAATGGGTGGATGGACATTTATAGAACTGATGATGACCAGTAACTCTGGTGGAGGTTTAAGATGATTCAATTTGAACATCAAAGTTTGTGCTCAATAATCCTGGTAAAAAAAAATCAACAAAGTTGTCAGGTCCTCTGGGTGGTTTCTTTGTGTTGAAATGTTTCGTCCTTCATCCAAAGGACTTCATCAGGCAGAGGAGTCACAACAAACTCAGTCCCACAGGCATCACATTCACATAGTGGACCAATCAATTTCATGGTGATAAGAAGCTCTCTGGAGTCCACCCTCTTTCAACACAAATGAATCGTCCAGAGGAAACTGACTTAACTTTGTTGGATTTTCTACCTGGACTATTGAGCATGAACTTTGATGTTGTGAACCACTTTGGCCATGGCTGCCTCAGAGGAGTCAATGGGGGAGAGGCTGGTAGTTATTGAATCAAGTGTTTATGTAGGTAAAACTAGATGTTAAGCAACCTGTTAAAATACAGTAGTCCCTCGCTACTTCGCGGTTCGACTGACGCAAACTGGCTCGCTCTTTCACGGTTTTTCAAAGTAAGATTGGACATGACACACAATTGGCTGATTGATGTACGAGCCATATGATCTGCATGGAATTTGTATTTAAATCAATTATTATTTAGCGCCTGCTGCACCTTTGTACAGCCCATGCTGCAGGATAAACTTCCTGCTGCATCTGATCAGCTGTTCTCCGTTTGGTGCATAGAAGTGGGCGTGGCCAAGCGCGCTTGCAGGTGGCTTAGAGCATGGGAAGCAGGGAGCTGAAATCATGACATGCTGTGCTCTTTTACAACGTTTAGAGTTTAGAAACAT